TTTATATAACGGGTTAGTGCGCCCATAACCCCCCAGGCCGACGTGCCTGTAACCCTTCCCTAGGATCATCGGGGATCTCCAGTAGACCTCTGACACCCCCCCGCACTGGGATGCCCAAAGTGCACACACCGGGAATCGAACCCGAGACCTTCGCTCTGATACCATGTCAGAATCCCAGCCACTAACCACTGGGATAAAAGGGCTTGTTTATATAGCGGGTGAGTGCGCCCATAACCCCCCAGGCCGACGTGCCTGTAACCCTTCCCTAGGATCATCGGGGATCTCCAGTAGACCTCTGACAGCTAGTCCCTGCTGGTATGCCTGAGCACTCGGCGCAGGAGCCGCGTGTGCAGCAAGGGGAGCCGGGACAGCCGCAGGAGCAGGGGAGTGCGGTGCAGCAGCAGCAGCCAGCGAGCTGCCAGGAGTCGGCGCACTGCTCAGAGCCGCGCGCATCGCCGCGGCCAGCATGCCAGGGAATTCGTCGCGCAACTGCTGCACCTTGCTTGGCGCCTCACGCCCGCGACCGTGACCTCCCCACCAGCCACCGCGGCCTCCGCGATGCGCATTCCGGTACGAGGGGGAGGGGCGACGCCGAGGAGAACCTCGCCCCCGCTGCGCCGCCGCACTGCCTCCAGCAGCGCCGCGATTGCTTGACTCCGCGCGCTGCTGCGCAACGGGCTGAACCGGCGCAAACGCAGGAGCGACCTGCTGCGCGGGGCCGTGGGCGGCGCCCGCCGCTGTCCCCTGCGCAGGGACACCAGCAGCAGCCTGGACAGGTGGTGACGCCGCAGGCGGCTGCGGCGCTACAGGCGCGGACGCACCAGGGGCGAGAGCACCGAGAGGAGGTGGGAGGTTTGGCGGGGGAGCAGACGCCATCAGGATTGGGGCCGTCGGCGGCGCAGCGGCGGCGGACGGATCCAGGGGAGCAGTTGGAGCAGCAGGAGCCTGGACGGCAGGGGCAGCAGGACTAGGGGGTGGAGCAAGCACGCTCTCAGCGGTGTGCCCTTGGTCCACCACTGACCTCGCCGCTTCTGTCACCATCGCGGCGAACGCGTCGGCAGCAGGCATTGGAGGACGCACGACTGCGTCAGAGCGCGGGGGAAGGAAATCGAGGAGGCCCACAGCTGGCCGCGGCCAGCGCGCGGTCGAGAGGAGGACGCGCCGGAGGTCGCGGGCGCGGCAAAGGTGCGCGAGAAGGTGGCCCGGAGAACGCGTTTCAGGCGGCAGCAAGGCGGGCTTTAATTACGTTGGGAGAAGCTAATGATGTTGAAGCTGTTTCGGGGAGTATTTATGAGGCGGAGGAAGATGCCGTGGACTCAAGTTCGAATGCCTCTGAAGAGGCTGACTCACAAATTCCTGCTCGGCAGAGGACGATCGCAACCCACGCCCGAAGCGCGTCAACGAATTTCCACATTACACCCATCCAGCCGCGACCCTCTCCACAGCGCCGAACCACCACTGCCAACCCCGCCACCGCTGCCAACCAGCCCGCCATTCCAAACCTGACACCGGCACCTGCCACTGCACCACGTACGGTGGCGAGGGGTAACCAGCAGCAGACACAGCCACCCCCCCAAAAATCCCCGGAGGCCCTCGCTAGGGACGACACGCTTTTCGCATGCGTTACTGACTGGGACCTGGATTTGCTTCGCGACAGCCGCAACTCACCTATGACACGTCGCCTGCCGGAAAAACTCCGCCTTCTTTTCGCAATGGTTATCCTGACGCCACTGTTGCGTCTCGCCCGCGACCCTGACTCCACCCAAGCCTGGACTGTGCTGCTGTTTGCCGCTCGCCTGACGCTGCGTCAGCACTCACCAAAGCACCCTGATTGGAAGGCCACCAAAAATCGTCTGCGCAAATTCCTGCGAGGGGAGTGGGAATCACTGTACCAGGAGACAGTGGACTCGCTCAATCTCCCTCCCCCCCCAAGGCATCTGAAAGCCAGACACCCTGGGGACGATCTCCAGAGCTGAAGGACTGGCGCGACGTGGCAGTCTGAGGAGGGCCGTTATGGCACTTGAAGCCACGCCAGTCAGCACGCCGTCCCCTGAAGTTCTGGATTCACTGCGCGCCAAACACCCAAGTGCCCAGCGCCCTGACACTCCGTGGCCCCAACCCGAACCAGATTCTTACCTGTCAGTTTCACGGGAAGTCTTCCTGAAGCTTCTCTCCAAATGTGAGAATGGGGTAGGGGCGGGCCCTTCAGGCACGACGTTCGAGCACCTGCGCGAAGCAGCCCTGATGCACACTGAAGTCAGCACTCACCTACACGCGCTCGTCAACACCATCTTGCGCGGAAAGCTGGGTGTGGAGGTAGGGCGGCTCCTCACTGCATCGCGGTTGATTGCCCTCGACAAGCCCGACGGAGGAACCAGGCCGATTGCCATAGGCGAGTGTATCCTCCGATTAGCAGCAAAGGCCGCGCTTTCCCAGCTAGCAGAAGCTGCGCGAGAGTTCTTCTTACCTCTGCAATTCGGCGTGGCTGTCCCTGGAGGAGCGGAAGCGGTCATTCACGTCGTACGAACCTTCACCGCGGCCAACAGAAACGCGCTGGTCCTACAGGCCGATTTGGCGAACGCCTTCAATAGTGTCGATCGCCACGCCATATCGGCGGCATTGAAGGGCTCGAAGCTTGAACCGCTGCTGCCACTGGTACGCTTCTCCTACGGCCAGCCGTCCACTCTGCATCTGGACGCGGCCTTCAATCACCCGCCCCTGCTCAGCGAGACGGGAGTCCGCCAGGGGGATCCCCTTGGCCCCCTTCTCTTTGCCGCGGCCATGCACCCAGCCCTGAAGGCGGCCGCGGAGGCACATCCAGACGTCATCTGCCTTGCCTACGCGGACGACGTCACCGTTTTGGGAGAACCGTCGTCATGTGCCGCAGCGTTCAACAACTTCACGAGCCGCCTGGCAGAAATAGGCCTGAGGCACAACCCTGCAAAGTGCGGGGCGTGGTCAGATGGGCCGCCCACAGATGTACACCTACCTGAAGGAGTTCCCCCAAGCCATGACGGCTTGAAGGTGTTGGGGAGCTACATCGGCACCACCACGGCTACCTCAGCCTTTGTGCGATCCAGCCTGGAGGCAATGGGAGCGCCTCTGGGGTTGATTGAGCAGATGGAGCCGCAGCTGGCTGGGCTGCTGCTTTCTCGGTGCATCTCGCGCCGAGTGTCTTACCTAGCCCGCACAACGCCGCTGCCATCCCTGCCCAAGGAGGAGTGGTCAGAATGGGGAAGGAGGCTGCTGGAAACGCTCCTGACGGCATGCGGCATCAATCACCCGCGCGGGGAGGAATCTTCACGCACGTGGGCGCAAGCTTCTCTCCCCGTGTCGTTGGGAGGGCTCGGCCTGACCGACCCCACCGTGGAAGGAGGCTACAGCTTCCTCGCCAGCTACACGCAGGCGCAGCTGCTGCTTGACTCCCTGGATGGCGAGCGCATCGGCCCACTGGACGCTACACGTGAGCTGATGCGCGGCCCATACACACGGTCCTCTCCTTTGACCGAATGGCTAGCGGATTGTGAGGAGGAGCTCACCCTGCCGGCGCAAGAGGCCCTGCAAGCAGAAAGAACAGCTCCAACTGCGGGGAAGCTGCAGCACGGCCTGGCCACGGCGATCGAGGGCCAGCGCTATGCAGTGCAGGTGGAGGAGGCGCGGGGGATGAGGCCAAACCCCAACAACGGCCACACGCAGCGGCTGCTGTCCCTGTCAGGGTACGGGGCTGGGGACTGGTTAAACGCCGTGCCCATCCACTCCTCGCTACGCCTAGAGGCCCCTCACTATGCCAACGCGGTCCAGTTCCGGCTGGGCCTCCCCTTCGCTGCGCCAGGGGTTTGCAACTGTTCAAAGAAGGTGAAGATCCCAGATAAGCGGTTACCGAACCACCTGCTACGCTGCGGCACGGGGGGGGGACGCACAAACACACACAATGAGTTACGGGATGAGTGCGCACGGATGGCACGATATGCTGGATTCATGGTACACATAGAAACGGCCGCTTTCAGCCCCGTGGAGGAGAAGAAGGCGGATTTGGCCTTACGATGCCGCTCCACCGGCGCCGTCTACATCTGTGATGTGACGGTGACGGACCCCATCAGCACCCGCGACGAGAATGCATCTAAGGGGCGGGGATGGGCGGCACGAGAAGCTGCAGACAAGAAGCACGGCTTGTACACGGACCGCCCGGAGTGGGTGAAGTTTTTCCCGCTAGCGGTCGAGACGTATGGGTGCCCATGCCCAGAAACAGTGGACTTCCTGAAATTGCTCGCGGATACAGCTGCAAGGCGGTTCTTCAACGCCGAGCCCACCTCCTACCAAGCTGCCAAGCTTCTACACCAATACCGGCAGCGGTGGTCGGTGGCTCTTCAAAGGGGGCAGTCGATTGGCTACCTAGAAAAGTGCAGCATAGCAGCTGCCATAGAAAACCCACTGCTAGAGCCAGTGGGGGAGGCCCCGTCCCTAGGGGACTGCCTCTCGGTCCTGGATCCGGCTCTGGACCTAGCTTAAAGGGGGGGGGGGGGGGGGGGGGGGGGGGGGGGGGGGGGGGGGGGGGGGGGGGGAGGTAGAGTTTAGGGGTGCGTAGTTAGAGGGATATGTTTTAGAACACTCCATGTTTAGCATTCTCCGTGCATGCCTGTATGACCTTGTATCACTCAATGAAAGGGCCATTCGAGAGAGAGAGAGAGAGAGAGAGAGAGAGAGAGAGAGAGAGAGAGAGAGAGAGAGAGAGAGAGAGAGAGAGAGAGAGCGAGCTTTGTGTGTGTCTCTGTGCGCGCGTGTGTGTGGGCGTGTGTCTGTGTGCGCGTGCGTGCGTGGGCGTGTGTGTGTGCGCGCGCGCGCATGCACGTGTATGTGTGTGTGTGTGTGTGTGCGCACGCGTGTGCTCACGCACGTGCATGTGCGTATGAGTGTGAGTGCTGCAGCGCACCCAAAGCACCACCAGGGCTGGTCATCACATACACATGCCGTTCACATGCCGCTGACATCACCGTCATCGCATGGCCTGGCTTCACCGCATCCTCTTTCCCTCCCATGGAATCGCACCACAAGCATCCCTCGTCCCTCGTCCCTTGCATCTCACTGCCCCTCCCTTTGCCAGCCCCTATTGCTACGCTGCCCTCCATTTCTCCCCTCCCCTCCATTGCTGCGCCTCACCTGGTGCTGCCTCTCCCCGTGCACCTACCTCATTGTTGCGCGGCACAGGGCCGGCGCTGCGAGACATGAAGGCGCAGTGGGGCAGTATAATACCTGACACCACCAACACCTGGGTGGAGAACGGCGACTGCAACAATCACGGTTCTTTCGATCATCTCTCGTGCGACGGTAGCGGCTTCGTGACAAGATTGTGAGTGTGGGGATCGCTTGACATATGGCGCTCTCGGCATGATGTGCTTACATACACAAGCGAGCGTTGAAACGCATCAGCTGCACCTTTTATACCCCTCGTTCTGACCCTGAGTGGTCCAGAACGGGACATTATAGATGCGGCGCTCTAAGCATGTGGCTCTCATTCCAGACTATGTCAAATAAATCCGTCCACAGTCATGAGGAGATGGTTAGTCATTGCTATGGTGCCCTGTTTCACCGATTTAACCTCATAATCTGCAGCCTCACACTCGAACTTTCGCCTCTTTGTGGATGCATTTTGATGTGTGGATCAGAGATTTATCAAGCAACTATCTAACTGGCGCCCTTCCTGAAACCATTGGCGGCTTCAACAAACTTCTTTACTTGTACGGAATGAGAGTGTGAAGGGGGATGAGAGTGTGAAGGGGGATGAGAGTGTGAAGGGGGATGAGAGTGTGAAGGGGGATGAGAGTGTGAAGGGGGATGAGAGTGTGAAGGGGGATGAGAGTGTGAAGGGGGATGAGAGTGTGAAGGGGGATGAGAGTGTGAAGGGGGATGAGAGTGTGAAGGGGGATGAGAGTGTGAAGGGGGATGAGAGTGTGAAGGGGGATGAGAGTGTGAAGGGGGATGAGAGTGTGAAGGGGGATGAGAGTGTGAAGGGGGATGAGAGTGTGAAGGGGGATGAGAGTGTGAAGGGGGATGAGAGTGTGAAGGGGGATGAGAGTGTGAAGGGGGATGAGAGTGTGAAGGGGGATGAGAGTGTGAAGGGGGATGAGAGTGTGAAGGGGGATGAGAGTGTGAAGGGGGATGAGAGTGTGAAGGGGGATGAGAGTGTGAAGGGGGATGAGAGTGTGAAGGGGGATGAGAGTGTGAAGGGGGATGAGAGTGTGAAGGGGGATGAGAGTGTGAAGGGGGATGAGAGTGTGAAGGGGGATGAGAGTGTGAAGGGGGATGAGAGTGTGAAGGGGGATGAGAGTGTGAAGGGGGATGAGAGTGTGAAGGGGGATGAGAGTGTGAAGGGGGATGAGAGTGTGAAGGGGGATGAGAGTGTGAAGGGGGATGAGAGTGTGAAGGGGGATGAGAGTGTGAAGGGGGATGAGAGTGTGAAGGGGGATGAGAGTGTGAAGGGGGATGAGAGTGTGAAGGGGGATGAGAGTGTGAAGGGGGATGAGAGTGTGAAGGGGGATGAGAGTGTGAAGGGGGATGAGAGTGTGAAGGGGGATGAGAGTGTGAAGGGGGATGAGAGTGTGTGAGTGTGAAGGGGGATGAGAGTGTGAAGGGGGATGAGAGTGTGAAGGGGGATGAGAGTGTGAAGGGGGATGAGAGTGTGAAGGGGGATGAGAGTGTGAAGGGGGATGAGAGAGTGTGAAGGGGGATGAGAGTGTGAAGGGGGATGAGAGTGTGAAGGGGGATGAGAGTGTGAAGGGGGATGAGAGTGTGAAGGGGGATGAGAGTGTGAAGGGGGATGAGAGTGTGAAGGGGGATGAGAGTGTGAAGGGGGATGAGAGTGTGAAGGGGGATGAGAGTGTGAAGGGGGATGAGAGTGTGAAGGGGGATGAGAGTGTGAAGGGGGATGAGAGTGTGAAGGGGGATGAGAGTGTGAAGGGGGATGAGAGTGTGAAGGGGGATGAGAGTGTGAAGGGGGATGAGGGGGGATGAGAGTGTGAAGGGGGATGAGAGTGTGAAGGGGGATGAGAGTGTGAAGGGGGATGAGAGTGTGAAGGGGGATGAGAGTGTGAAGGGGGATGAGAGTGTGAAGGGGGATGAGAGTGTGAAGGGGGATGAGAGTGTGAAGGGGGATGAGAGTGTGAAGGGGGATGAGAGTGTGAAGGGGGATGAGAGTGTGAAGGGGGATGAGAGTGTGAAGGGGGATGAGAGTGTGAAGGGGGATGAGAGTGTGAAGGGGGATGAGAGTGTGAAGGGGGATGAGAGTGTGAAGGGGGATGAGAGTGTGAAGGGGGGATGAGAGTGTGAAGGGGGATGAGAGTGTGAAGGGGGATGAGAGTGTGAAGGGGGATGAGAGTGTGAAGGGGGATGAGAGTGTGAAGGGGGATGAGAGTGTGAAGGGGGATGAGAGTGAGTGTGAAGGGGGATGAGAGTGTGAAGGGGGATGAGAGTGTGAAGGGGGATGAGAGTGTGAAGGGGGATGAGGTGTGTGAAGGGGGATGAGAGTGTGAAGGGGATGAGAGTGTGAAGGGGGATGAGAGTGTGAAGGGGGATGAGAGTGTGAAGGGGGATGAGAGTGTGAAGGGGGATGAGAGTGTGAAGGGGGATGAGAGTGTGAAGGGGGATGAGAGTGTGAAGGGGGATGAGAGTGTGAAGGGGGATGAGAGTGTGAAGGGGGATGAGAGTGTGAAGGGGGATGAGAGTGTGAAGGGGGATGAGAGTGTGAAGGGGGATGAGAGTGTGAAGGGGGATGAGAGTGTGAAGGGGATGAGTGAGAGGTGAAGGGGGATGAGAGTGTGAAGGGGGATGAGAGTGTGAAGGGGATGAGAGTGTGAAGGGGGATGAGAGTGTGAAGGGGGATGAGAGTGTGAAGGGGGATGATGAGAGTGTGAAGGGGGATGAGAGTGTGAAGGGGGATGAGAGTGTGAAGGGGGATGAGAGTGTGAAGGGGGATGAGAGTGTGAAGGGGGATGAGAGTGTGAAGGGGGATGAGAGTGTGAAGGGGGATGAGAGTGTGAAGGGGGATGAGAGTGTGAAGGGGGATGAGAGTGTGAAGGGGGATGAGAGTGTGAAGGGGGATGAGAGTGTGAAGGGGGATGAGAGTGTGAAGGGGGATGAGAGTGTGAAGGGGGATGAGAGTGTGAAGGGGGATGAGAGTGTGAAGGGGGATGAGAGTGTGAAGGGGGATGAGAGTGTGAAGGGGGATGAGAGTGTGAAGGGGGATGAGAGTGTGAAGGGGGATGAGAGTGTGAAGGGGGATGAGAGTGTGAAGGGGGATGAGAGTGTGAAGGGGGATGAGAGTGTGAAGGGGGATGAGAGTGTGAAGGGGGATGAGAGTGTGAAGGGGGATGAGAGTGTGAAGGGGGATGAGAGTGTGAAGGGGGATGAGAGTGTGAAGGGGGATGAGAGTGTGAAGGGGGATGAGAGTGTGAAGGGGGATGAGAGTGTGAAGGGGGATGAGAGTGTGAAGGGGGATGAGAGTGTGAAGGGGGATGAGAGTGTGAAGGGGGATGAGAGTGTGAAGGGGGATGAGAGTGTGAAGGGGGATGAGAGTGTGAAGGGGGATGAGAGTGTGAAGGGGGATGAGAGTGTGAAGGGGGATGAGAGTGTGAAGGGGGATGAGAGTGTGAAGGGGGATGAGAGTGTGAAGGGGGATGAGAGTGTGAAGGGGGATGAGAGTGTGAAGGGGGATGAGAGTGTGAAGGGGGATGAGAGTGTGAAGGGGGATGAGAGTGTGAAGGGGGATGAGAGTGTGAAGGGGGATGAGAGTGTGAAGGGGGATGAGAGTGTGAAGGGGGATGAGAGTGTGAAGGGGGATGAGAGTGTGAAGGGGGATGAGAGTGTGAAGGGGGATGAGAGTGTGAAGGGGGATGAGAGTGTGAAGGGGGATGAGAGTGTGAAGGGGGATGAGAGTGTGAAGGGGGATGAGAGTGTGAAGGGGGATGAGAGTGTGAAGGGGATGAGAGTGTGAAGGGGGATGAGAGTGTGAAGGGGGATGAGAGTGTGAAGGGGGATGAGAGTGTGAAGGGGGATGAGAGTGTGAAGGGGGATGAGAGTGTGAAGGGGGATGAGAGTGTGAAGGGGGATGAGAGTGTGAAGGGGGATGAGAGTGTGAAGGGGGATGAGAGTGTGAAGGGGGATGAGAGTGTGAAGGGGGATGAGAGTGTGAAGGGGGATGAGAGTGTGAAGGGGGATGAGAGTGTGAAGGGGGATGAGAGTGTGAAGGGGGATGAGAGTGTGAAGGGGGATGAGAGTGTGAAGGGGGATGAGAGTGTGAAGGGGGATGAGAGTGTGAAGGGGGATGAGAGTGTGAAGGGGGATGAGAGTGTGAAGGGGGATGAGAGTGTGAAGGGGGATGAGAGTGTGAAGGGGGATGAGAGTGTGAAGGGGGATGAGAGTGTGAAGGGGGATGAGAGTGTGAAGGGGGATGAGAGTGTGAAGGGGGATGAGAGTGTGAAGGGGGATGAGAGTGTGAAGGGGGATGAGAGTGTGAAGGGGGATGAGAGTGTGAAGGGGGATGAGAGTGTGAAGGGGGATGAGAGTGTGAAGGGGGATGAGAGTGTGAAGGGGGATGAGAGTGTGAAGGGGGATGAGAGTGTGAAGGGGGATGAGAGTGTGAAGGGGGATGAGAGTGTGAAGGGGGATGAGAGTGTGAAGGGGGATGAGAGTGTGAAGGGGGATGAGAGTGTGAAGGGGGATGAGAGTGTGAAGGGGGATGAGAGTGTGAAGGGGGATGAGAGTGTGAAGGGGGATGAGAGTGTGAAGGGGGATGAGAGTGTGAAGGGGGATGAGAGTGTGAAGGGGGATGAGAGTGTGAAGGGGGATGAGAGTGTGAAGGGGGATGAGAGTGTGAAGGGGATGAGAGTGTGAAGGGGGATGAGAGTGTGAAGGGGGATGAGAGTGTGAAGGGGGATGAGAGTGTGAAGGGGGATGAGAGTGTGAAGGGGGATGAGAGTGTGAAGGGGGATGAGAGTGTGAAGGGGGATGAGAGTGTGAAGGGGGATGAGAGTGTGAAGGGGGATGAGAGTGTGAAGGGGGATGAGAGTGTGAAGGGGGATGAGAGTGTGAAGGGGGATGAGAGTGTGAAGGGGGATGAGAGTGTGAAGGGGGATGAGAGTGTGAAGGGGGATGAGAGTGTGAAGGGGGATGAGAGTGTGAAGGGGGATGAGAGTGTGAAGGGGGATGAGAGTGTGAAGGGGGATGAGAGTGTGAAGGGGGATGAGAGTGTGAAGGGGAGATGAGAGTGTGAAGGGGGATGAGAGTGTGAAGGGGGATGAGAGTGTGAAGGGGGATGAGAGTGTGAAGGGGGATGAGAGTGTGAAGGGGGATGAGAGTGTGAAGGGGGATGAGAGTGTGAAGGGGGAATGGGGGATGAGAGGTGAAGGGGGATGAGAGTGTGAAGGGGGATGAGAGTGTGAAGGGGGATGAGAGTGTGAAGGGGGATGAGAGTGTGAAGGGGGATGAGAGTGTGAAGGGGGATGAGAGTGTGAAGGGGGATGAGAGTGTGAAGGGGGATGAGAGTGTGAAGGGGGATGAGAGTGTGAAGGGGGATGAGAGTGTGAAGGGGGATGAGAGTGTGAAGGGGGATGAGAGTGTGAAGGGGGATGAGAGTGTGAAGGGGGATGAGAGTGTGAAGGGGGATGAGAGTGTGAAGGGGGATGAGAGTGTGAAGGGGGATGAGAGTGTGAAGGGGGATGAGAGTGTGAAGGGGGATGAGAGTGTGAAGGGGGATGAGAGTGTGAAGGGGGATGAGAGTGTGAAGGGGGATGAGAGTGTGAAGGGGGATGAGAGTGTGAAGGGGGATGAGAGTGTGAAGGGGGATGAGAGTGTGAAGGGGGATGAGAGTGTGAAGGGGGATGAGAGTGTGAAGGGGGATGAGAGTGTGAAGGGGGATGAGAGTGTGAAGGGGGATGAGAGTGTGAAGGGGGATGAGAGTGTGAAGGGGGATGAGAGTGTGAAGGGGGATGAGAGTGTGAAGGGGGATGAGAGTGTGAAGGGGGATGAGAGTGTGAAGGGGGATGAGAGTGTGAAGGGGGATGAGAGTGTGAAGGGGGATGAGAGTGTGAAGGGGGATGAGAGTGTGAAGGGGGATGAGAGTGTGAAGGGGGATGAGAGTGTGAAGGGGGATGAGAGTGTGAAGGGGGATGAGAGTGTGAAGGGGGATGAGAGTGTGAAGGGGGATGAGAGTGTGAAGGGGGATGAGAGTGTGAAGGGGGATGAGAGTGTGAAGGGGGATGAGAGTGTGAAGGGGGATGAGAGTGTGAAGGGGGATGAGAGTGTGAAGGGGGATGAGAGTGTGAAGGGGGATGAGAGTGTGAAGGGGGATGAGAGTGTGAAGGGGGATGAGAGTGTGAAGGGGGATGAGAGTGTGAAGGGGGATGAGAGTGTGAAGGGGGATGAGAGTGTGAAGGGGGATGAGAGTGTGAAGGGGGATGAGAGTGTGAAGGGGGATGAGAGTGTGAAGGGGGATGAGAGTGTGAAGGGGGATGAGAGTGTGAAGGGGGATGAGAGTGTGAAGGGGGATGAGAGTGTGAAGGGGGATGAGAGTGTGAAGGGGGATGAGAGTGTGAAGGGGGATGAGAGTGTGAAGGGGGATGAGAGTGTGAAGGGGGATGAGAGTGTGAAGGGGGATGAGAGTGTGAAGGGGGATGAGAGTGTGAAGGGGGATGAGAGTGTGAAGGGGGATGAGAGTGTGAAGGGGGATGAGAGTGTGAAGGGGGATGAGAGTGTGAAGGGGGATGAGAGTGTGAAGGGGGATGAGAGTGTGAAGGGGGATGAGAGTGTGAAGGGGGATGAGAGTGTGAAGGGGGATGAGAGTGTGAAGGGGGATGAGAGTGTGAAGGGGGATGAGAGTGTGAAGGGGGATGAGAGTGTGAAGGGGGATGAGAGTGTGAAGGGGGATGAGAGTGTGAAGGGGGATGAGAGTGTGAAGGGGGATGAGAGTGTGAAGGGGGATGAGAGTGTGAAGGGGGATGAGAGTGTGAAGGGGGATGAGAGTGTGAAGGGGGATGAGAGTGTGAAGGGGGATGAGAGTGTGAAGGGGGATGAGAGTGTGAAGGGGGATGAGAGTGTGAAGGGGGATGAGAGTGTGAAGGGGGATGAGAGTGTGAAGGGGGATGAGAGTGTGAAGGGGGATGAGAGTGTGAAGGGGGATGAGAGTGTGAAGGGGGATGAGAGTGTGAAGGGGATGAGAGTGTGAAGGGGGATGAGAGTGTGAAGGGGGATGAGAGTGTGAAGGGGGATGAGAGTGTGAAGGGGGATGAGAGTGTGAAGGGGGATGAGAGTGTGAAGGGGGATGAGAGTGTGAAGGGGGATGAGAGTGTGAAGGGGGATGAGAGTGTGAAGGGGGATGAGAGTGTGAAGGGGGATGAGAGTGTGAAGGGGGATGAGAGTGTGAAGGGGGATGAGAGTGTGAAGGGGGATGAGAGTGTGAAGGGGGATGAGAGTGTGAAGGGGGATGAGAGTGTGGAAAGGGTCATGCTGTGAAGTGGGCCGAGGTGAGCGTTTACTAGTGTGGTGGTGTTAGGGCGTGGCATTCGGCCAACACACTTTGGCCAAAGTTTTGGCTGTAGAAGTTCGCCGAGATTCGTGGTAAACATCCTGTAAACGGCCACTCAAACGGCTGTGACAACACCTGACAAGTCCTTTCGAGATTTTTGGTACCACCCCGATGAATCCGAGCCCAGCTAATCCTGAATTTTGCAGAGCTATGGTACATTTTTCACGCAGTCCAGTCTGGGCCGCGAAAATCAGTTTCGTTTAGCAAAGAATAGCTCCACGCTCTCGCGCAGTGTTGGGGGGTAGCGATGCGTGAAATTATAGAACAGACTTATGCAATATTTTCGACTTGGGATCTAGGAACTGTCCACACGTGTCTACTGTCTGGCTGTTCAAGTCACGAAAATACGGCCATCGACGTAACCCGCTTTACCCACGAATCCACTTCGTGAACCTGTCGCAACCTGGTTACCTTCGCAACATTCAGCCTGTCGAATGTTGGCCGAAAACATGTGCCACGCCCTAATTGTACAATGGTTAGTGACAAATTGTTTTTTAGAATTCCTAAAAATAACCTTCTATTGTGGTGGTGTTATTGTACAATGGTTATTGGTCAGTGACACGAATGGATGGGGTGATAGTACAAAGCGGAGGAGGTGGTGGTGATATGAGCAAACAGGTGGTACGAAGGGGGGCGATACATTGAAGGGGACTCTTTCTATACTTGGGTGGGTTGAATGTTGAACTGGTACGTGTTGAACTGGTACGTGTTGAACTGGTACGTGTTGAACTGGTACGTGTTGAACTGGTACGTGTTGAACTGGTACGTGTTGAACTGGTACGTGTTGAACTGGTACATGTTGAATGAAAGGTTGTGGGACTCGAGTCAGGACACTTGTCTACCCATGTCTTCTTTGCCTTAGTGCAGCTTGAATTGTCGTACGATCACCCCATCACCCCCTATCCCTTTCATACCACACACACACACGCATACATCGCATCACCCTCCCGTGCCTTGCCCCTCTCTATCACTCTCTCCGTTTTCCCCCTTGCTCTCCCCTCCCTCCCTGTGCCTCCTCCCTTCCCACTCAGCTACATAGACTCCAACTCTCTATCGGGCCCACTCCCATCGAACTTCTCCAAACTCGTTTCACTAAGGGAATTGTGAGATACCCCTCCGTCAGCCAACTGCTAGTATGGCCGTGTTCCTGGAACACACACGCATGCAGCTCCCTAGGGAGTCGGCTATTGTCACATCACATGTTTCGGTGAGCCTACAGTCAAGCTCATGGCAGGTCATGTCATCACGGGCCACGATCCAAGCTGAAAGCCTTTGGCGTGCGACAGGCCGGCCATGTGTCGGCACGGCACTCCCGGCTCATCGCTAGCCGTCCTGGCCGTGACCCAGCCCGTTTTCATGGAGCATTGCTGCAACTCGTCTTGCCTCCCCTTGCATTCCCTTGCATGTCTTCCACCCCCTTGCATGCCTTGCCCCTCCCACCTCACAGCGACGCCCACTCCAACAAGATCAGTGGCCCCCTGCCTGATGGTATCGGCGCTCTCACTGCCCTGCAACAACTGTACGCCCCATGCAGCCCTTCCAAGCCTTTCGACTGCCTCCCTTTCCCTCCCCCCCCTACAATGTTCTCCCTACCTATTTGTGTGTTCTTGTAGCACTCCTCATCGCAGCTGCCACTCTTATTAATAACGCTCAAAAACGTACTCATGTCTCAAACATCAGCAGAAGTCGTCAGGCATGCAAGTGCAACATGTTACAGCACGTGCCTCCCTCCCCTCCAACCACAGCGTCCTCCCCAGTTCTCTTGTAACTGCTTCCCCTCATCCTAATACATCTCCTTTCCATTGCATGTTGGTTCCTTGACACAGGTATCTCTATAACAACCAATTGGAAGGGCCGATCCCAGCATCCTTCACCCAACTCACTGCGCTAACCCTGATGTAAGGCAGGTGCAACAAAGCACGCCACATCTCATGCTTGATCCATACAAGGGCCCCTTCAAAATCCGGCCGTCATCCATTCATGCACTATTCCATGGTCTTCAAGCAGTTGGTACAGATGCGACACACTTGCGTTGCATGGCTCGTCGTAGGCTCGCTGTCAACGTGCTGTCGAACAGGCACGGTTTGTCATGTTGGTACAATGCTGTGCTCATGTCTAGCCACTGCTCCTCAACCCGCGGCTCACGGCTCGTCAAGGTGACTTTTGAGTCGACTCAAAAGTCGCCTCGGTTTGTCGTGTTGGTTACTATGCTATGCTCATGCCTAGCCACCCCTCCTCGGCCCGCGGCGCATTGCTCGTCAAGCAGGCTCGACCCGAAGCAATGCTCGACCCAAGCTTGTCTTGAGCTGCGCTGGAGTTTAGCCAATCGAGGCGACGTCGGAGAGCACTCTTCCTTCTTGCACCTTCTCTTCTTCCTGTCGACACCCTGCCTCTCTTCCTGTCAACACCCTGCCTCTCTTCCTGTCAACACCCTGCCTCTCTTCCTGTCAACACCCTGCCTCTCTTCCTGTCAACACCCTGCCTCTCTTCCTGTCAACACCCTGCCTCTCTTCCTGTCAACACCCTGCCTCTCTTCATGTCAACACCCTGCCTCTCTTCCTGTCAACACCCTGCCTCTCTTCCTGTCAACACCCTGCCTCTCTTCCTGTCAACACCCTGCCTCTCTTCCTGTCAACACCCTGCCTCTCTTCCTGTCAACACCCTGCCTCTCTTCCTGTCAACACCCTGCCTCTCTTCCTGTCAACACCCTGCCTCTCTTCCTGTCAACACCCTGCCTCTCTTCCTGTCAACACCCTGCCTCTCTTCCTGTCAACACCCTGCCTCTCTTCCTGTCAACACCCTGCCTCTCTTCATGTCAACACCCTGCCTCTCTTCCTGTCAACACCCTGCCTCTCTTCCTGTCAACACCCTGCCTCTCTTCCTGTCAACACCCTGCCTCTCTTCCTGTCAACACCCTGCCTCTCTTCCTGTCAACACCCTGCCTCTCTTCCTGTCAACACCCTGCCTCTCTTCCTGTCAACACCCTGCCTCTCTTCCTGTCAACACCCTGCCTCTCTTCCTGTCAACACCCTGCCTCTCTTCCTGTCAACACCCTGCCTCTCTTCCTGTCAACACCCTGCCTCTCTTCCTGTCAACACCCTGCCTCTCTTCCTGTCAACACCCTGCCTCTCTTCCTGTCAACACCCTGCCTCTCTTCCTGTCAACACCCTGCCTCTCTTCCTGTCAACACCCTGCCTCTCTTCCTGTCAACACCCTGCCTCTCTTCCTGTCAACACCCTGCCTCTCTTCCTGTCAACACCCTGCCTCTCTTCCTGTCAACACCCTGCCTCTCTTCCTGTCAACACCCTGCCTCTCTTTCTGTCAACACCCTGCCTCTCTTCCTGTCAACACCCTGCCTCTCTTCCTGTCAACACCCTGCCTCTCTTCATGTCAACACCCTGCCTCTCTTCCTGTCAACACCCTGCCTCTCTTCCTGTCAACACCCTGCCTCTCTTCCTGTCAACACCCTGCCTCTCTTCCTGTCAACACCCTGCCTCTCTTCCTGTCAACACCCTGCCTCTCTTCCTGTCAACACCCTGCCTCTCTTCCTGTCAACACCCTGCCTCTCTTCCTGTCAACACCCTGCCTCTCTTCCTGTCAACACCCTGCCTCTCTTCCTGTCAACACCCTGCCTCTCTTCCTGTCAACACCCTGCCTCTCTTCATGTCAACACCCTGCCTCTCTTCCTGTCAACACCCTGCCTCTCTTCCTGTCAACACCCTGCCTCTCTTCCTGTCAACACCCTGCCTCTCTTCCTGTCAACACCCTGCCTCTCTTCCTGTCAACACCCTGCCTCTCTTCCTGTCAACACCCTGCCTCTCTTCCTGTCAACACCCTGCCTCTCTTCCTGTCAACACCCTGCCTCTCTTCCTGTCAACACCCTGCCTCTCTTCCTGTCAACACCCTGCCTCTCTTCCTGTCAACACCCTGCCTCTCTTCCTGTCAACACCCTGCCTCTCTTCCTGTCAACACCCTGCCTCTCTTCCTGTCAACACCCTGCCTCTCTTCCTGTCAACACCCTGCCTCTCTTCCTGTCAACACCCTGCCTCTCTTCCTGTCAACACCCTGCCTCTCTTCCTGTCAACACCCTGCCTCTCTTCCTGTCAACACCCTGCCTCTCTTCCTGTCAACACCCTGCCTCTCTTCCTGTCAACACCCTGCCTCTCTTCCTGTCAACACCCTGCCTCTCTTTCTGTCAACACCCTGCCTCTCTTCCTGTCAACACCCTGCCTCTCTTCCTCACGTGCGTTGCTCTGCTTCAGTCACTCCCGCACCCCACAGGTAAGAGTCCAAGCTCAAGAGCTTGGACTCAATGCATTGCTTGCTCCCATGGCTTTCACCACAACGCTCCTGCAAGGCTGGTCTCGTCTGAAACAACCTGCTTCCTTCTGAAACCCTCACCTCACCCCTCACCTCACCCCTCACCTCACCCCTCACCTCACCCCTCACGTCACCCCTCACCTCACCCCTGCATCAGCGAGCTTCAGTACAACCAGATTACAGGTCCTCTTCCTGGCAATCTTGGGAGTGTCTCCCAACTCATTGCTTTGTGCGTGCCTCTTCTCATGGCCTCACTCTGCGCCTCTCCTCCTCTCCGTCTCTGGTCTTCCCCTCCACACATGCGCTGTGACCCTCTCTCTCTGTGGCTTAGCTTGTTGTGATTGCCTGCTCGCCATTTGGCTGTCACTCATCCCGTTTGTTCCTCCTGCTATGCAACGCATCATGATCCCACCATGCGTCCAAGCTAGTTCTGAGGCGCCTCAGAACTAGACCAACCATGCATTACACTAGACCAACCATGCATCCAAGCTATGGAAATTGCACCACCATTACACTCTTGCCTCATGTTCTTCCTTTCAAACCCCAGCGTTGCTTCCTGCCTTGCTGCCTCGACACATCACATCTTATCAAATCACATCTTATCACATCACATCTTATCGCATCACATCACATCACATCACATCACATCACATCACATCACATCACATCACATCGCATCGCATCGCATCGCATCGCATCGCATCGCATCACATCACATCACATCACATCACCCCAGGCGTGCGTACAACAACCATATATCGGGTCCCGTGCCCCCCACACTAACAGCCACAACTAATCTCCGTTTCATGTGAGCCGCTTGCATCGCATGGCCTCCATATCACTCAGCCATTTGGTGAGCTCAAGCCATGGACCTGACATGAGTGTAGGGCGTAGGGTCAGGTTAGGGATCAGCCTGGGCCCAACTGGGAGGTTTCTTGGCATAGACAGACAGGGCCAGGCGCCATCGCAGTTCAGCTGAGTTGCTGGTGCTGACAAGTGGGCAGAAATATGAAATCCGCAGGTTGGTGGTGTTGTGGAGGCGTTACCTTGTGGTGTTTTCGTTGGAAAATTATTGGTGGCAGGTAGACAAACCGTGGTTCAGTTTGTGTTGAACCGATTCGTGCCAAGCGGAAGAAGGGGCGTTTTGATATTTTCCCTGACCCCTACCCATGGTCATGCCTAAAGGCATGCCTTGCTCCACACAGCCTATACCCGGCCATTTACCAACACCTGTCGCCAAATGTAGGGATGGCGCTGCATCGCTCCCCCCCCTCTGCTGCACATGCGCCCTCACTAGTTTAAAATTAACCGTCTCCCACCTGCCGTTCCTTCTCAATCAAACCTGATCTTCCTCCCATGTGACCCTTCCATCCCTCCATCTTCCTCTCCTGGCATGCCCTTCCTTCCACCCATTCCTCCTGCACCTGTCCTCTCCCCCTGCCCCCTGCGCCCCATGCCTTGCCTGGCACGGCACGGCAGTGAGCTGGGGAGCAACGATCTGAGTGGAACCATCCCTACCAACGTGGCCACCATCACCACACTACAAACGCTGTGAGGCATGGGGCGGATGGATGGAGCATCGGCGTGGACTCATGGCATGCATGCACTGGGGTTAGTGTGTTGCTGGTTATGAGGAGGGGGGTGGGATGGGACATGGCACATGGGATGGGACATGGTACATGGGATGGGACATGGTACATGGGATGGGACATGGTGCATGGGATGGGACATGGTGCATGGGATGGGACATGGGGCATGGTGCATGGGACCATTCTTCTGCATACTGTGCTGATATGATCCACTCATGTGTTTTCCAACTTGGACAAGGAGTGTGGAATCATATGGAACCACACCACGCACCTCTTCTTGTCCAATCCTTGCAATCCTAATCTGCTCGCTGTGTTTGAGTAGAACCCTCCATCACTAGGTTTGCTCTTCACATACAATTATGAGAACCATACATCGCCTCCCACATCCTGCCGTACCTGTATCCACATTGCTCACTCCATCTCTTGCTTGCTCAAATTTGTTTGATTTCTCTGATGGTTTGCCTCTACGCTCCCACCCCTCTCTTCCTTCTCTCGCCACACCTTCTTCCCCAGCGATCTGTCGCACAACGAAATCAGTGGCCCCTTCCAGATCACTGGAATGCACCGTCTCTTTACTTGTTCGTGTTCTTCCTTCCTTCCTTCCTTCCTTCCTTCCTTCCTTCCTTCCTTCCTTCCTTCCTTCCTTCCTTCCTTCCTTCCTTCCTTCCTTCCTTCCTTCCTTCCTTCCTTCCTTCCTTCCTTCCTTCCTTCCTTCCTTCCTTCCTCCCTCCCTCCCTCCCTTCCTTCCTTCCTTCCTTCCTTCCTTCCTTCCTTCCTTCCTTCCTTCCTTCCTTCCTTCCTTCCTTCCTTCCTTCCTTCCTTCCTTCCTTCCTTCCTTCCTTTCTTTCGTTCTTCCGTTCTTTCCTTTCTTCCTTCTTTCTTTCTTTCTATTGCAATTCTTTCTCTTTCTGGTACACACGTCTATTCTCATTTGAACCTCTATTGGTCTACGCCTGTAATGTCAGTGCAAGTGCCGAACAGCACAGCACAGCACAGCACAGCACAGCACAGCACGTGCACCACACGTCTGGCCATGTCGCATCTCATCACCAGCTGCATGAGCCAGCTGCTCAGCTCGTCTGGTGGAAGTCAACTCCATGCCCATGCCATGTCTATCTGCACCGCAGTGCCGTCCATGCACCTGTCTGTGCACACATCCCCCTGGGCTTCCATGACTCCCTGCTCCTGCCCGTGCCTGCACCAGCCCATGCACACTTCCCCCTCCACCAAAGAATGAATCCCGTCTGCATCGCTCTCTGCATCTATCTGCCCCTTTCTTCCCCACCTCCCTCCACTCCCTTCCATGCTAATCTTTCACTTCCCACTCTTTATCCACTCGTTACCCACTGCGGCCTCCTTGCCTGCACTTTATTTAGTTGGTCAGCTGCTCAAGTGATTCTGTCTCTGCGTGCCATTCGTCTCTTCTCTGCTCCCAGGGATATCAATGACAATCACCTGTCTGGCACGATACCGGACGAGATAACAGGCTTGGTCTATCTCACACTACTGTAAGACCCGAGGCTTGGTCTACCCCACTCAGCTGTAAGACCCGTACTGCTGTAACGGTCACACTACTGTGAGGCCCACAACGTGAGCCTCTGTTCCATTGTCCCTAGTTGTTACTCCTCCTCTCCTGCACCCTACCCTTGCCTCTCTCCACACCTCCCCCCTTCCCAGTGCGTTGAGTCTGAGTCTAGGTGTCCCACAGTTCGCTCCCAATCATGTGTGTCCTCAACGACACGCTCCCAATCATGTGTGTCCTCAACGACACGCTCCCAATCATGTGTGTCCTCAACGACACGCTCCCAATCATGTGTGTCCTCATTGACATGTACTCGCCTCCTCTGTGGAGATGCGTGTGGTGGTGGGCTCTGTTTCTCTCTCATTCCTTACTGCCTTGTTACTCACTCCTTTTCTTGTGCGTTTCCCCTCTTGGACGGATCGAATTTCGACAAGCAGACCACGACCTTTCGGTGATCGGGTCGCCATGGCAACCGGCCAAGCAGGCCGAGCCAAGTCGTGGCTGAACCACTAGTTCCTCCTTTCGTTTCCTCGGTCTTCACCTCCCTTCCTTCTTGTTCTATCCAGGGACCTGAGCTCCAACCGCCTCACTGGCACCATACCGCAAGGTCTTGCTAGTCTTGGCAACCTACGAACTCTGTAAGTCTTTCATACGCCCCCAACTCAGTTGTTCTGTCATGCTTCTAGCAGTATAAATGTTCCCCAGGTCCCAGCCATGCGGATAGGAGTGCTTGCTCCTTGCCCCGTTGGTTTGCACTTCCCATCCTTCAGTTGCCCTTCCTTCCACACCCCATCCTTCCACACCCCATCCTTCCACACCCCATCCTTCCATCCCCCATCCTTCCACACCCCATCCTTCCATCCCCCATTCTTCCATCTCTATCCTCAGCAACCTGAGGAACAATCTTCTGACAGGGAAAGTGCTAGAGCCCGTGCCAGCATCAATAAGCACCTACAAGCCGGACAACAACTACTTGAGCGAGGGTTTCTCGTCCCCCCCACCATGCACGCAAGGCTACATCACATACCGCGCCAACTGTGCAGACAAGCCAGCGGACGGTCTTGCGTGTGGTGCAGATGAGACTCAGAAGACCGACCCTGTCTGCACCGCCTTCTGTGGTGTCAACGGCACTGCCTCCCCCCCTGTGCCCGCCTGCAACGGCCATGGCGTGTGCTTCTTGGACGGCCCCAGCAACACGCCCACATGCCTCTGTGACGATAACTACGTGATTGGGGAGTTCCCTGGCAGCTGCGTGCCTGTGGCAGGTGAGCCACTCACAGCCTGAGCGTTGAGCATCCATGCAGCATATCATGCCATGCCATGTGCCTTGTTCTCACTCTACTTGTACTGCTGCCAAGCATGCATCCTTTATTTTTCTAAACTAATACCTGCCGCATTCCTCCTTTGAGAAAGCGTGTTTTGCGCTCGCCTCTCTGACCATCCCTATGCCTCCCTCCCACTTCCAGGTGGTAGGACGGAGCAGGATTTGACGCCCACAGGAGCCATGCTGACAGCCACGGGAGATGCCTCAGTGAATGCAGCCACGCTCACTCTCACGCCCGCCCAGCCGTCCAAGGCTGGCAGTGTGTTCCTGGCAGCGCGCGTGCCGCTCTTCTCCTACCAGCTCATCGGGGACTCCTGCGGCCGCCAGCTCGCCTTCTCCTCCTCCTTCTCCTTCACTCTCACCCGCCCTGCTGCCTCCGGCTCCGAAGGCTTTGCCTTTGTGGTGGCCTTTGATGCCACCCCGCCCACAACACCGGTGGCGGGCGGCATGGGGTATGCGGGGATGGGAGCGCGCAGCGTGGCAGTGGAGTTTGACACGTCGATGGATGCGGGCAACAGCGACCCTGACAGCAACCACGTGGGCATCAACACCGGCGGCAGTGTCGTGTCAGTGGTCACGGCCAAGCCAAGCTTCCCCCTTAATGACGGCACAGCCAAGTACGCCTGGATCGAGTATGACCCTTCCTTCAGTGGCTCCCTGCGCGTCTTCCTCTCCTCCCAGGCGTCCCCTCGCCCCACCACCCCCCTCCTGTCGGCACGCATCTCCCTGTGTGAAGAGCTCGCCCCCTCCCCATCGGAGTACACCTTTGCCATTGGCTTCACTGCTGCCTCCGCCACCCAGCCTCAAAGCCATGTCGTCTCTGCCTGGACCCTCTCCACACGTGAGTGCACCCGTGCATCCATCCTGTCTCTTTTGGTCGTTGCATTGCATTGTTGTTTGCTTGTCACTTCACCAGTATGAAAGTTGATTTGCAATGACTTTTCTTTTGTGTGCGTGCGCGCGTGCGTGCGTGCGTGCGTGCGTGTGTGTGTGTGTGTGTTTCTCCTTGCAGATTTTCCTGTCCCGCCAGCTCCAGGTACGACATAATATGACTACTAATTTGTTCCTTCTATAAGAAAGCTTTGGAGTTGCATGTTGAACCAGTTTATAAGAAACCATCAACAATCCTCATCATATCTACTCTCTCCTCAATCGCAGATGCAGCGCTGGGCTTTACATTCAGCGAGGCGGCGCTCTCTCTATCGGGGATGAATCTTTTCTTCCGCTATGCCAGCTCGGGCAGTGTTGCTGCTGTGGGTGGCAATGACGTGTATGGTGTGCGCCCTGCTGCTTCATGGTTCCGTCTAAACTTCACATGGCCTGTCAAGACACAAACCACTTGCGGTGAGTAGTGAGGTACCCCCCAGTCTTACTCCATGCTAGGCACGCACGAGCACCGATTGAACTCGGACCTGCCTGCCTCAAACCAAGTTTGTTTGTAAGACGTTGTAGAGTGTTAAAGAGGAGCACGAGAGGATTAAAGAGGAAGCTTGCCCTACCCTACTGGCTTACAAGTAAGCCAATGAAAGGGCTTGTTCGTAATCTAAGCAACCGTATATTTGAGGTGGTTGGGATCAATGAGGCTAAGGATGAGTTGGCAAGTGACAATCTCGACCAACCACAAGTTGTAGTTGGCGGGTACAACCAACAACCCCCTTATGGAGCGAATGAGTACACCTTGGAATTCGGCCTATGGATGTTGTAAGGTCAAAATACTACAAGAGGTTCGGCTCGTGTTGGACCACAGGCCCGAGTTTGCCTGGCTCCACCTGGGTCATTTGAGCTTCAACTTGAAACGTAGGCTGTTCTGCTAGGATCAACAACGGAGTTTGGATAAGGATGCCGAAATTACTCAAATCATTGACTGAGTTTGTGGATAGAAAACTTGTCTTCACAAAAAAATGTCGTCGACAAAAAGTTGCTCGTTAAAACTTCTCCAAATGTGACTATGTTGTAGTCTTGTACCATGGCTATCCTTTCCAAATTGAAACGTAGCAAGAGGTAAATGTATCTCGAGAAATAAATTTTGGCGCACTGGAGGGTATGCTGTAGCTGAAACTTAACTCAAGCTTCAATACTCAACCAAGATTGTCACAAGTTTTAAAATTAGGTAGAAGATGATGAACAGGACGAGAGGGTAAGGTCATGAGAAAAAATGAAACCCCATAAGCACATAAAATTCCCTCCCTATAGGAGCCCACATTCCACTCTTGAATTGTTCATAACTCATGTAATCCACCCCACTCAAATTGACTACATTTGCCAACCTGGTTTGGTTTCTCCAAACTTTGTTTCATTTGTCACAACCACTTAGCAGCAATTACAGTAGAGTGATGAATATTCCCATACCTCCAATGAACTTGTTTATCATGACTACCATACCCCCAACGCCATATGGAAGCACCTCCATAGTCGTTTTTTTAACAAGACAACATCCAATGTTCCATGTCTCCTAAAAAAATTCCCAAAGTGTGGCCGACTACATCGCAAAAGTTCAAACCTTTCATTGCGACTTGACGGAACCCGACATCGTCTTCTCTGAATAAGCCTCGAGCAGCCACTCCGATGCTCCATGCTCGCGTGCCCCAAGCAAGTGTCACCTTGGCGCCCTTCTAGCGCAACCGTTTCTCTCCATGCACCTATGTCATCAAGTATGCAATCGCAAGGGTCAAGTGTTGGTGGTGCTAACCACCCCTCCGTTATTTGCTTCAAGAAGAAAGAAACGAGTGGTA